TCTATTCACGCTCCCACAAACAAAGATGTCTACGATCTCAGCCATACAAATAATCTAACATTGAAAGCGAATGCTTCACGTAAAAGTTAAAAGAGGACAGATAAGGCAGTCAATTATATAAGAGAGTTTTGAATTCCTTAGACTTAGCGGTAATCTCAGCGCACATATTATATATTAAACGCAGGCGTTCTCAATCCTCAATTTCTTATCATTCCGTCCGATACTCCCCTTTAATTAAAGCGACTACAGATACCTGTCGAACGTTCGCAATAACTATACACAAAACTCAAGATCAATCCATAGAATTATGAGGTCTACATTTCGGCACGGATAGCGTCACACATGGTGTTAAAACCAAAAGTGTTGTATTTCCACAAGAGTGTAGTCCACAGGGAAGCGTTGCATAGTACAGATAGTATTATAAATAAATATTAAACAAACCAATTTTTTTTTTTCAAGCTACAATTTGATAATTTTATTATTTATGACTTTTCGAAGGATATTTTTACGTCATTTCGCTTTAAATACAGCATAGGAATACATTATCCTACAAGATCAGCTACAACGGGTAGGGCAGCCTTTGCAATGGGTAGGGCGGCCTTACCAATCTTCTTCGCAACCGGGAGGGCTTTTTTAAACGCGCTACCAATACTGCGTTTAACCATAACGGAATCTTCGGCAGTAGGTTCGGCTACTACGCACTGAGAAGGGAAATAAATACAATAACATTTTTTATCAAAGTAGTAAATTCAATACTTTTTTGCTTTTAACTGTACTTACATGGAATGCAATAAATGCAACAATGCAGATGAGGAAAACAGCTTTAAGGTTGGCCATGGTGAATTTACTTCTGGTTTTTTCGAGCTTGTAGTTCTGGTATTTATACTTGAGTTCACACATACATGCATAGGTATAGTGACTCTTGAAAATACAGTTATCGGCACTGCACGATTCGGCACTTCCCAATATAAAGTCGTGAATGTTATAATATCTTACAATAAAAACTGCACGAAAAAACGACTTTGGAACATATTGTCTGTCTGTTATCTCAAAATGCCAAGAACCAATTAAAATAATTTTGGCTGCAGTATTCGACATAAGCCTATGCGTTGATTCTCGGGTAATTTCTCTTATATATTACTAAAAAAAATAAATTTAGATATTGATTCGATGAGTTTCAATTTCATATTATTTCAATTTAATTCATTTTATTTTATTTTATATATTTTTAATTTTTTTATTTTATTCTATTTTATTAATTAAAATAAATTAATTTAATTAATTTTATTTCATTTTAAGCTATTTTAATCTTCTATTTTATTTAGTTTATTTTAATTAATTTAATTCATTTCATTTAATTTTATGCTAATTTATTTTATTCTATTTCACTTAGTTTATTTTAATTTATTTTATTTTAATGTAATTTATTTTGTTTTGTTTTAGTTTATTTAATTTGATTTTTTTAATTCTATTTTATTGTATTTTTATTGATTTTATTTTATTTTATTTTATTTTATTTTATTTTATTTTATTTTATTTTATTTTATTTTATTTTATTTTATTTTATTTTATTTAATTTTTTTTTATTTGATTTGATTTTATTTATTTTAATTTTATTTTCATTAAATTTCATTTTAGTTCCCTTTTTTATTTTTTATTATATAATTATAAGATGCTATATGAGAAAGAAAGAAAAGTTGTCCACATTTTAGTCTAAGCAAAGAGCTATATAATTTTCTGATAAGTAAAGATCCACCTACATGAACAACGATATATATTAAGTTAAAACGAACCATAGGAAGAGGAAGTATTCTCCATATCAGTTTAGCTGAAGAGTTATCGGTCCGAGTCCAGAACACATATTCCAAGTTTCAAGTCGTTACGATCAGTGGCTTATGCTATGGACGGATGAACCGTCAGTCAGTTAAGTCATTCCGAATAAAGCAATTTATATGTATTATATATAAAGATGATTTAGTTTTATTTATGTATATTAATTTTAATTTAGTTAATTTCACTATATTATTTTAAAAACACTTTATTTTTTTATTTAATTAGTAACATTTAATTTTACACCATTTCATTTCATTCATATCTTTTAATTTAAATAATTTTATTTGTTTTAATTATTTGTTGTTATATTCTGGCTCATTTTATTTAATTTATTTAACATATTTTATTTTATATTCTTTTAACATTATTTTTATTTATTTTTTAATGAATTATATTTTATATCAAGTCATTTTTGTTTATGTTATTTGAACCAAATGAACTTCCATTCCTAATTTCCTATATTTTTATTCAATTATTTTATAATGTTATTTCATATTATTGCATTTCATTCCGTTAAATTTGATATTCATTAATTTTAATTTCTTCCATGATTTATTCCATATATTATTTTATCTGACTTTGTTTTAATTTATTTCATTTTATTCTATTGTATTTCATTCTCCTGTAGTTTGTATTTTTTATCATTTATTTTTATATTATATTTAATAACTTTGCCTAACTATTTTATTTAGCTTTTTTTTATTTATTTTTTTTGTTATGATAATTATTTTGTTTTATTTTATATCATTTAATATAATAATTTTTTTTTAATATTTTTTTAGCTACTATTTTATTTAAGCATTTTAACTCAGTTTGTTTTAATTTATATACTTTTGCTTATCATTGTTTAATTTGGTCTATTTTATTTTAAACTTTTTTATGATTTTCTTATTATATTTAATTTAATTATGTCCTTTAGTTTTTAATTGGTTTTATTTTATTTTATTTCATTTATTTTGTTTTATTATATTGTATATTTATTTCATTTGTTCTTCTTTTTTTAATTCATATCATTTAGTGTATTTTGATTCATTTCATCACAGCCGCAGCCATTTCCGTTTTCATTAGTAATAAAATGTACTAATATGCATGTTTGTATTTGGTGAAAATATTGAGATTTCAACTGATATGAGTATCCTATTTGAAACGTATAATAATCCGTAATTCTGTAAATTAGAACACTAAAGTTTGGAACCGCAAGAAGTAATTCGGTATAAGTGGCATCTAAATATCTCATTTTCTCAACCTAAGTGAAAAGAGGAAAATCCAACAAAAAAAGGTTATTTTACAACGTCTCAGTATTAATTTAAAAAAGAAATTGAACCCATAAAATCTTCATTTTTTTAATGATTTAAAAGTATTCTACGAAATTCTGTTTCTGAGCGTGATATTTTTCATAATTTTGATGGAATGAGACTTGCAATAGCTTCTCATTTTCAGTAGCACTCCAGCACGGACAGTGGTGATAATGTAACTATTTTACGGAAACCAAGATTGGGACCTGTTACCGCTTTATTAGTGTTGTAAGGGCAAACAAAAATTTCATAAAAATTTCATAAAAATTTCTCAAAATCACTGTAATCAGTAGCAGTTTCGTTGACGATCTCTTTATTTTAACGAGCATCCCTTTTATTGCATTTGCCCTTAAAATTGCGTTTATCTCTTTACATCTCATTTGTAGCGCCTTTAATCTTAACGAAGCGGGAAAATATGAGCCACAATTTTATCTACTATTCTAATTTTAATTTTTTTCATGAGTTGTAAAATAAGTTATTGAAATAGTTTAGAGAAATATGGGCTTTAAAGATATGAACTAAAATCTAGAAAACGACTTACATATTTTTCTGTTAGCAAAATGACGTAAAGCCTTTCAGTTAATAATTTTTTACGACGCTTCAGATTCAGACACGTTGTCTACCTCATTTACGGTTGCATTATTACTGGGTGTAGCGTAAACTAAGTTTAGTTATATTGTTGTTGTTAGAAAGCACAGCTTAGCTACAATGTTACTTGAGTGATTTTATTAGTTTTGTTTAAATCTTTAGATTGGCGAAACTCTTCATTACCAGGTATGACGAAAACAACCAAGAGATTTGATTTTTACCATAAACTAAGTTGGTTTTTTTAAAACTCTATTACATGTAGGACTGTGGATTTTTAAGTTTTCAAGGTATTGATATTACGATACATATTCAAATAGCACAAGCAGATATATAATCGGCTAAGCTTTTCCAGTTCAGACAAAACATTTTAAGGAATTTTAAAGTATTGGCCTAGTAAAAAGTAATACATTATTTTTGCATTAAATTGAAAGCTTTATTTACCAAAGTTAGAACTATCAGATGTTTGTCAAATATGCACCGATTTGCCTGACAACTTCCAGGCTCACTGCCCTTCGACCAGATTTCATTTAACGTTGCCGTAAGTGTTACACTTTCGTGCACCAATCGCCATGCGCTTCAGAAATAGGTCGATTTTGTTATGATTAACCAGTGATTCGCAAATGGAAATTACGGCTATCAGGTGTTTTTCGGTTAACTCATGTGGCACGCATACATCCAACTTCTTTATATATCCAGCATTTAGATTTGATGATTTAGCATTACAACAATAAACACTTCTTCTGAAATAACTCGAAATCAAACTTCCTAATCTAAGAATGAGCGTCATGCCCTGAGCCAAGTCGGCTATGAAATATATATACATATAGATACATGTATTTATAATTCGCGCTCTGTAACACCTGGATTGATTTTTCGCCAAGCTCCTCCTTCAATTTATATTTTTTATGATGAGCTTTATTTCATGTCCGAAATACACTCGGAGGGGTTGACATTTCCTGCCGAGGGGCAACCGCAATTAGAAAATTTAACTTAATTTTTTATTTAAATTAATTTTTTTGGAAAAATTTGGGAAGTTGGTCGTACCAGAATGGTTTCTTTCTTCTTCTTTCGAATGGCAGTACGCAATGCTAATCACTCGGCTACGTCCGTCCGATACTCCCTTTCAATTCAAGCGACTGCACCTACTTTTCGACTGTTCGCAATAACTATAAAAAAACTCAAGATCCATCTATAGAGTTATGAGGTCTAATTTAGGCACGTATGCGCGACAGGGAAGTGTTGCATAGTACAGCTAGTATTATAAATAAAAATTAAACAAATCTATTTTTTTTTTTCAAGCTATATTTTGATAATTTTATTATTTATGACTTTTCAAAGGATATTTTTACGTCATTTCGCTTTAAATACAGCATAGGAATACATTATCCTACAAGATCGGCTACAACGGGTAGGGCAGCCTTTGCAATGGGTAGGGCGGCCTTACCAATCTTCTTTGCAACGGGGAGGGCTTTTTTAAACGCGCTACCAATACTGCGTTTAACCATAACGGAATCTTCGGCAGTAGGTTCGGCTACTACGCACTGAGAAGGGAAATAAATACAATAACATTTTTTATCAAAGTAGTAAATTCAATACTTTTTTGCTTTTAACTGTACTTACATGGAATGCAATAAATGCAACAATGCAGATGAGGAAAACAGCTTTAAGGTTGGCCATGGTGAATTTACTTCTGGTTTTTTCGAGCTTGTAGTTCTGGTATTTATACTTGAGTTCACACATACATGCATAGGTATAGTGACTCTTGAAAATACAGTTATCGGCACTGCACGATTCGGCACTTCCCAATATAAAGTCGTGAATGTTATAATATCTTACAATAAAAACTGCACGAAAAAACGACTTTGGAACATATTGTCTGTCTGTTATCTCAAAATGCCAGAACCAATTAAAATAAAAAGCTTTGGCTCAACTATCTGGTAATTTCTCTTATACTCGTATACCAATTGCTCGGATACACGTTTGGAGATTTCGAGAGTATCGGCACTTAGGTAAGTCAACAGATGAATATCTCGCCTCTTCAATTGATCTTCGCAGCGTACTAAGGTGGTTTGAAAATGGGGCTAATGATGCTGGATTAGGTGTTAACTCGGAGATGACAAAGCTTGTTGTTTTCAATGGAGCTCTCGGAATATCGTGTTCATATACCTTCAAATAGCCAAGCCTGATTAAGGGCGATGAAATCTGTGTCAATGAAATAGTCAGTGGTAGAGAGTTTCCGCAGATGACGTGATGGCCAAGAAGTGCTCTTTGAATCTGATATGGGAGCATGAACAGATATCGGGTAATGAGTTGACGTAAGAGCTTGCAAGGAAGGGCACTTTCTTCCTACTTTCGCCATCAGGGAAGAGTTTGGGCATGCCGCTAACCACTTGTGAACTCACCATAGAAAAGTTATTTATTAAAGATGCGACCTCTAGATAGAAAGTCTTAATGCGTGTAATGTGACCATGGCAATGTGCCCGGAATCGGATAAGCTAAAAAAAGGAAATACCAACAGTCATAGGTAACTTCTGCAGAAGTTGCAGACAAGAAGAGAAACCTGAGACACTTTCTTCGGTGAATTAGGTTGACTCTTTAGGGCGGAGACTTAAGCGAGATAGTGGTGGAATAAATTCGCCGATTGCTCGCCTTCAAACTCTACACCTTGGCTTGATTAGCGGCTATGGATTATTTTAACCCTTGGTAGTTTTATAATGGGCCCCTTTGGTGGCCCAAGTGGCAACGATATTAACTAAATTACCAAGGTTATGACAGACTGCTATTTGGTATGAGCTTTATCCTGACTATTGCATAATTGGAAGTCGTTAGTGTGGCTTTAGGCCTGAAAAATCAACCAACGCAGATATTCACCCTGCGACGAGTCTTAGGAAAGACCCGTAAAGGAAGAATCGATGCACTAGCAGCCTTCGACCGCACAGCAATCTGATTTATCCACAGAACTTATCTTTTTGTGTAAACTGACGCTGGAAAACAACAGAAGCGCAGTCAGAATTTCGAAGGACTTCTCCGAGTCGTTCGGTACCAAACGAGGCTCAACACCGGGTAACTCTTTATCGTGTGATTTCTTTAATTTCATGCTGAAGAAAATAATAAGAGCTGCAGAGCTGAATAGAGAAGGTAGAATCTTCTATTTTCATGGGTCATCGTTCACGCCGGACGGGAATAATGAGCGACTTATAAAGTTTTTTGTTTGGATATTGTACCCGTTATAGCCGATCTGATGAGAAACCGTAATTCAATGGCTGAGTTTTTCCCAAAACTGTTGACTCAATTTAATTAAAGAGTAAAAACATCTTGAGAAATTTCAAAATTAAAAATGGTCAAAAATTTAATTGAATATCTCAACAAAGCATTGAAACTTTTAGGTTAGAAGCAAAATAAACAATTCATTTAAACCAGGATTTAATAATTAAAGGTTGGATAAGTAAATAGTTTTCCCAATCCTTCTTGCCCAAAAGGCTCCCTTACTGAAAAACAATAATACTTCTTTGTAAAAAAAAAATAATTTTTTAATAATTTATTTTTTTATGAAAACATCGATATTTTGACAACCATTTAATTATTTATTTTTTCTTATTGCGAAATATGCGAATTGTGCACACGTTAAAGTTGGTAATTAATTGTGATTTAAATCGTAGATAAATCACTGCCGTAGATAGCACTGCCATTAGGCTGTCAGCTGCAGCCGCTATTCGAGCCCCCACATAGTCATAGCGTCTATTCCATCGACATCGGTTTCGGGCTCACCAACTCCGGATGTTTCACTTTCAATACCAATCAGCAGGCTGGGAAAGTGTTCCCTATATAAATTCAATACACTCTGGGTATTCATCACTAGATCACCCCCTGGGTCCGACAAAAGTTGGCTCCATTACCTTCTTTAAGTCGCGTGAATTTTCCTAGAATTTTCAAACAATAAACCTGTCGGCCAGCTTCTCAATCTCTTCATACACACACAATTCGCCCTCTTTCTTTTTTCCTATAAGTGCATCTTGGTTCCTTTTTTAACTCTCGGTATCTATCGAATAGAAAACCGTACGGCTGTCTGTTGTGATTACAGCTTTTTGGCTTGGAACCTTTTTTGTGGGTATTGAGGGGCGTTCTTCACTTCAAAGCGGCGAGTGCTTATTTCTGAAGACATGGCCTCTGTTTATCACAACAGTATCAATCCGATTTGGGTTTTACGATCTGGAGACAAATAAGTACCTCGGTGAATTTTCTTGAACAAGCACAGCGGAGCGGTGAGTCACGTGGATGCAAGATTGTTGTGAGACGTTCATCCACCAGAGTTAATGCCAGTACTCGGCGACCGAGTCGCTCTTCAACCACAAATCCAACTGTAAATTTTCGCTCCTTTATGTGGTCGCTTCTTCCGTCCTCGCACATCTTGACGACGCACTTGACGACGGTGATGTCAGCCTTTAATTTTATCAGGACATCAACTAGCTAGGTAGCGGCTTAATATACGCAAATGATTTTTTTGTGCTTCCTATTTATGCAAATTTTTCTAATTTAACCAATTAAAAGTAATTTTACTACTTATATGTTTTCTTTTTTTTATTTTCAAAGGTATTGAGTTCGTGTTAAACATAAATGAAAATTACTTGTAAATACCATGAAAATAACCTACCATTTCTTATACTTTTTAACTCCTTTTTTGCTATCTTTTTCCTGTTTTTTTTTAATGGAACATATATTCTGCTCCTTTCTACTACTTTCAAAAATACAACCATGTGTAGGGGACTCCCTTGTCTCTACTCCAAGTTTTGATTTTGAATCACGGAGTTTAACTTTAGCAAGTAACGAAAAAACTATCAAATTTGATTGTACAAAATCAAAAAGCACAGACAAAACTACCGAGCGATGATTAAAGAATCAACAAAGCCAGTGTAAATACCTATATTATACATGCATTTTGTTCGATAAGATACAGACCGCACACCAATAAGCCTACTACCCACCGGTCCACTCAAATCATTCGAAAGAATCCTGATAAATAGAAATATACATCTAATTTTCTCAATCGGTACAAAGTGATACCAGAACATCAAGTCGGTTTTAGGGAAGAACATGGTACTGTAATTTAAGTCAAGCAAATTCCTTACGAAATTAAGAAGGTTCCAAATATTTCTTAACACAGTGCAAGCTGTAGAATTTTCGCCATGTCTATTTCATAAAAATTGTAGAACTTTACCTATACAATTCTACAACACATCTGTGTCATATCACCTACGGAGGAAGTTAAAGTTAAAGTGGGAATCCCCCAAAGTAGCGTTCTAAGCCTGTATCGTATGTACACTGCATAAATCCCAGTAAATTGAATTGTACAAACATCCACTTTTACGGATGGCACATCCAATAATAATAAGCCGTAATGAAATTTATAGAGAATTCGTGTTCTGCAGTACTTATCACTTAATATAATTAAACCGGCTCTTTAACCTATTGCTCTTTTGCATGTATAGAGCTGCAGTAGCTGCCTTCTCGTATCATTGAATAATGATGACTCCTAGGTGGGCCGATAGAGGAGATCTTTTATCTCTTTGTAAATAGCACTGTCTCTACTCTGTTTGAGTTGATACAGAGGCCATATCGGGTAGACAAACACGATACCTTTCCGTGTAATCCCTGCATCAAGTCACAGAGGGTTTGGAGAAACTTGTATCTGTATGCAATGAGGAAATCATCGGAGTCGGCAATGGCTTTGACGCCACTTCATTCCGTTAGCGTTAATAATGAGATTCCAAAGCAAAGGAAAGAGAACTCCAACCTGTGGCGTAACTCATCTTACATATCTCCAAACTTGATATCTTTTGTATACACTAGTACATGTAAAAAGAAACAAATACTTTGCAAACTAAATTTTTTTATTTCTCTTTTTTTTAACTTTACAACGAACGGATATTTTTACGTCATTTCGCTTTAAATACAGCATAGGAACACATTATCCTACAAGACCGGCTGCAACGGGTAGAGCAGCCTTTGCAATGGGTAAGGCGATCTTACCAATCTTCTTTGCAACGGGGAGGGCTTTTTTTAATGCACTCCCAATACTCCGTTTAACCACAATGGAATCTTCGGCAGCAGGTTCGGCTACTACGCACTGAGAAGGGAAATAAATAACATTTTTTTATCAAAGTAGTAAATTCAATACTTTTTTGTCCTTAGATGTACTTACATGGAATGCAATGAAGGCAACAATGCAGATGAGGAAAACAGCTTTAAGGTTGGCCATGGTGAAATAACTTCTGATTTGGTGAAAGCTGTGATGCCGATATTTATACTGAATTCTCGCCTGTAAAGGGTGTTCAAAACGCAATTATTAACAAACACGACTTGGTGCTCTGCAAAATCCGGTCGTGACTGTATTTTATACTTATATTGCATTTCAAAGTGCACATAATAAACATCAGAATTTTAAACTAATTTATTTTAAGGGAATCAAAATCGAACGGCTTTAATAGTCGAGTGGTCAGCGGTATGTACTAGAAGGCAGAAAGTTAATAACAATTTGGCTACAATCCACAAGGCTACGCATTAGAAGTGTTCCAGGACTTTAAGACAGAGTTTTAGTAATTGATTTTGAAACTGTTTAGGTTATTAGGGTGGACACAGAAGAACCCTGTTTTTGTGTCTGCCTCGCACTTAGACCCATTAGTATAGATTTGGATATATTTACTGTATCTGTTAGGCCCGCCTTCCGGTC